GGGGGGGGCTGGATTTTTTTAAAAATCACCTTTCCGCTTTTATAAGAGTGCCTGTTCAGGAAAAGGTTAGGGGCAGAGTTGGCACGAGTCTAGTTGAGGTCTCCCTTCGTTGTTTTTTTGTGGGTTTTTTTGTTTGTTTGTTTTAGTGAGCATTTTACGGCACTTGAAACAAAATTAGGTCACATAATTGCAGAAGATTAGAGGTGTCACAAAAGAGTAACAAACTCAAAAAAAGAAGGAAGGATAGATTTACGGCGATAGATGTTTGATAGAAATGAAGAAGCCCCTCAGAGTAAGTAAGAATCGTCTTTTACGCGTAACGTCATGGCTATCCCTATGTTCCCTCCTTAGAAAAGAAAGACCTTGGACTGTGGGTGGTTGGCGGATGCTCTGGTGTGGTTTGCTTCTTCTTTCCTATCGTCCTTATCTCCCCCTTCTTCTTTTTTATGTTTGTTACTCTCTTGTAACACCTCTAATCTTCTGGCGCTCATATGACCTTATGCAGTTGCGAGCGCCGAAAAATCTCGACTAAAACTAAGACCCTGGGCCTGGGTGGACGAAGTGGGTAAAGTAAATTCTGAATGGAGACCCTAACTAGACCTTTACCACAGGACATCAGACCAAAGGGTCAGGTGGGGTTTAACGGTGGGCTTAACGCCCTTTACCATGAAGTTGGTTTGTTTCAAGGGCTTAGCGTCATATCTAACGTCCATCCCCGATATGACTAGGCTAACATGTTGTAAAAAAAATTTTAAAAACATTTCTAAGGAAATTAAAAAGCTTCCAAACAAAATTTACGAAGAATTTTACTAATAAAATGGAGTGAATTTATTACAAATAAGGAAGTGTTGGAAAGAGCTGGAATTGAAGATATCATCACAATCCAAAATAAAAAAGGAGAAGATGGAGATATCTTGGACATGTTCTACGAATGCCGAAGACAAGATTACCCTATCAAACATGGCATTGGAAACCAACTGGAAAAAGAAAAGAGGAAGATCAACTGGAAGCTACAGAGGTACAATAAAGGATTTGCTGGAAATTGGAGGACGTGGCCAGGGACAGACAAGCGTGGCGTCGACTGCTCTCCTCCTTATGTACCTGACGGTATAGGGAGAGAGTAAGTAAGTGAGTAACTTGATGAATCACTTTAATGTGGAACTGGGGTCTTAGGAAGGCGGGGTGCTCCATGCTTCCTTACCCCTCTTCATGAGGGTCCATTTCAGTGTGGGCAGACTGATTGTCTCCATCATCAGAAGTAAATAATTAAGTAAGTAAGGTGTTGCAGAGTTCTGGTAACTCTAGAAATGAATCTAAGTTCACCAAATTAATCCATGCATGAGATCACAACACCAACTGAGAGGAAGTTCAACCTATGGTGGAAGAGATGACGGAAAGGAATTTGAGTAACGATGAATAAAGTCCTTATTCTAGATAAATATTCCAGTCCTTTTTGTAAAGTTAACTGATTTTTGTAACAAATTAATCTTCACCCCCTAAATGTATTTTTTACACATAGAGTTTAGGTAAAAGATCAAAACATTATTTCAGGTGTAGTCTATCTTGCATGCGTCCAAAATGTTAACTCCATTGCAAAATACCGCTTCGTCTAAGTTACAGGCTCATTGGAAACTGAGTTGCACCACGTAGCACTTCTAATAAACCCGTTGCTGTCGCCATTTTAACTTCCTCCCATAGACTTATATTTTCATATAGACTGTGTACTCTGATATAGTTCCGTCGACAATGAGACGTGCCATTTGACTCAGTTTGGAGCCATATGAAGGGCTTTTAGTTTTACTTTGCATCATTGCGGGTGGAACAATGCCATAGCTGCTCCTCCCTCTTCTCCAGGATCCATGAAAGGGTCTGCCTGCTGATCGTGCCAGTTACCTGTATTATCTGTCCAGGGCAACAACGTCATTGCACCCCAGACAGGTCCACAAGTGCCCAGTTCCCCCCAGCACCAAAGCTGTTAACAGCTGGTTGGATATCCTTCTGGCTTTTCCACGCAGGTTGCTGTCTCTCCCCGACCCTCTAGAGACACCATCTTCCCTTAGTCTATCCATAGTGTGAGAAGTGGTGCCTTCATCCTCTCTGTGGTCGTTGAACCATGCTGTCAATGCTGCCACGGCTGTTGGTGGATCTAATTGCACGGTGCCGCCAATCTCAGCCTGCCCGGCTACCTTATCAGCACGTTTATTGCCCTGAACTCCTGCATGTCCAGGGCTAAAGATCCATACAATCCTTGTGAGTCTGCTGCTTTGTATTGCCTCTCGCCAGTCTGCATACATCTTGTGTTTCTTCACCTTTTCGAAAAAAAAAAGGTAAAGTGGGAAAAGGTGCCACACACGCTCGACTTTAACGAGACTGGTGTTATGCCCTTCATTTAGGCGCCCATAGTGCGCCAATTTTTCATGAAGTTTTTATAAACAGCGAAGAGCAGCGGCCATGTCAGTGCAGAATCTAGGATAATATTAGTAATAATATAACTCACCTCTATGCTTCCAACAGTGTCAGAGGTGTACAGAAGGTGGCTGCACGGTGCAAGGTGAGGTGTGCTTCCTGTCTTTGGTGAGATCACTTTGTCACACACTGTGGTGAAGTAAGTGGCGTCTAACTTACTGGTTAGGCTACTGGACTCGTTATCGTGAGGCTGCAGGTTCAGGGTTCGAGCACATAACTTAGTCCGACGTTGTGTCCCTGGGAAAGGTGCTTTACACGACATTCCCATTTGGCTCCGTCCTTTCGGAGGGTCCCGCCTCTTAACCCAATCTGAACGTAGTCTTACTACCGTATCCACTACTTTCCCAAGAGGAAATTAACTCGTTAATCCGATCCGTACGTTTTGCATAGCAGTCTGTGAAAATAATTTTTGGAGAAATGCTGAAAGTTTCAAAGAGATCTTCATACTAGAAGTATTCATAAATGTGAAGAATACATTAAAACCGCGGGGGTGCAAAATGACTCCAGGCGCACGGATAGGCCCTAGGATTAAATAACCTAAGTGTTGATAGGGGAGCAAAACCAATATGTGAGGCAGCGTGGTGGAATCAGGCTCTCGTCAAAATAATCAAAGTGAAGAAACTGTCATTTTTCCGCAGCTTTGTGAATTTTTATCAAATTTTTGGTTTTTGGCTCGACACCTACGTGGTGCCTACAAAACTAAGAACTAAGTGCCCATTAAAGAACTCATTTCTGTGAGGGTTTTGACTGAAAAACGTTAATTGAAGGAACAAAAAATGTAAAGTTTCAGTTACCACAGACTCTAAAACTAAGGAAATGACTAACCCTTTGGGGCCAATTTCTCACTTATTTTACTTCTGAAACAAGGTGACCCCCACCACCTTCATTTGCAAATATCTCGACTTGTATTCAAGAAAAACGGATATTTTTTTTCTTTCAAAAAAAGACAAGTAATCAAGCTTTAAGATGATACCAGTAACTCTACGTGCCCAAAAATTGACGAGAGCCTGATTCCACCATGTCGTGACACATATACATGTACTCGCAGACTGTGACACGCTATGTATCTGGGACGCAATGGTTACGACTCTTCGCCTTGCACGAAAAAGGCGTTAGTTCGATTCTTTCTAGGGGTGTACTTTTGTATTCAAATACATGTACATGTCTGTCTTTCTGTTGAGATTTGGCATGCTTTTAAGCCTGAGCTGACCCTGGCAGAAATTGTCGCAACTACCTGCTTCCTAAATTACCAATACTCAAAACACCAACAAGCACCTTATTCAAGTGTTTTGTTTGTTTGGTTGGTTGGTTTTATATTGGGGTTTTCTTTTGTTGGTTGTTTGTTTTTGTTTTTGTTTTCGTTTGTTTTGGGGTTGTTTGTTTTTTGTTTTTCGTTTTTGTTTTGTTTTGTTTGTTTGTTGTTGTTGTGTTGTTGTTGTTGGTGTTTTTTTCAGTTGTTGATGCTGTTGAATTATATAGTAGAAAGATAGGCAGACAGACACACACACACACACACACACACACACACAGAGACAGACAGACAGTCACCTTTGTAGACTTGTTCCCCAAATTTGAGGTCTAGATCTCTCTTGACTTTCCGCAGCTCCTAAAAAAGAAAACATAACATCGAGTTACATAAAATAAAAGTGGTTCTGATGTTGGTGCAGATGAGAACGGCGGTAGTGCTATTGATGGCAAATGTTGTTGGTGGGTTTGAGTTGTTGTTATAGTTTAAAATATTGTCTTTTTGTGTGTTAATTATTATTAAGTGTTTTACGTCACTCGTAACTGCATAAGGGCTTATGAGCGCGCGAAACACTTCAAACATTTTCAGTCGGTAGGAATTGTTGAATTCTGCCCGGGTGGCAGCTGAAGCCCACTCTTGTCGATTTTGGACCACCAACGGATCTTTAACGAGTGCAACTTGCATAAGGGACCTTCTAGATTGTTTGCCATTATCCGAGAAGGCTAGGTGTTTGATCTTACCTGCCATAAGATCTGGGATGTGGCTGAAAGACAGCAGTAAGAAGAAGCTAAGAAGTATCTGTAGAAAGGCTGCAGAAAGAGTCTGGAGCCCAGAGGAGGGGGCAAAGGCGAGTGGGTGGGGGCAGGAAATAGAGACCAAAACCAGTCGACAGAACAGAGTTAGAGGGCAGGAAAGGAGGTGAAAGGAGAAAATTTAGAGAATAATATTTTCCGTCGCTATCCAGATTCGAACCCGGGACAAATTGAATGAGAGGCGAACACCGTAATGTCTCGACCACTAGAGCTACCCTCGAATTGTTGATATTAGTGTTGTTCATGGCGGTATCGCAGGTAGCGGTCGTTATAAGCTTAGAATTGCTGATTGTAGCTCTTTTTAAAACTGTTGCATGCAGGAGACACAAGATCGATGCATGAGTGGTGAGGAAATTTTCTCAAGTATTTCAGTTTG